TAGTTGCTATTATGGTATTATAGTAATTATAGTAGTAGTTCAATTCATTCTTTTATTTTATTGCACCCTACTAGTCCGATTCTGCAGAATTTGGTAAATTTCAGATGAGACTTCTTCCTACATTCGTACTGCTGATGATCGTTTGTGTTGTGGCAGGCAAGTCTGACGAGGACGATCTCTATGACAGTTACGACGATGAAACGCCAGCGCCTGCGAGTAAACCCTCCTTCGATGTATTGAGTTTCCTAAACCGTACTCACCACGGGCAACGTCCCTCCGGCAGAACTTTTGAACCTATTCCCGAATTGGAGTAACACATTGAAATACCGTTCGTAATAAAAATAATTGTCACATAGCCGTCACGAAACAAGAGAACAAGAGAGGTGAGAGATAGGCGAAACGAAGGATGCGCGTGGTGTGGTGGTGAACGCGTAAGCCCCCGGAAAGGGTGATAGCGCGTTCGTTCCCCACCGCAAACACCTACGATCCGGAGTTTTGCATATATCTCAGCATCATAAAAAAAGACAAATTGTTCAGTAACATTCATTTTCTTTTGTCCGTTTTTTGTGTAGGCCACTTGATGAAAATCACCGAGAAAATGTAATATCTCTCTCTTCATAAAGTACGAAGGATGAAACTGTCAGCGTTTATCAATATCTGAAGGATGCGCCACGTATTCGACTTTATTAAGCATCGTTTGGAGGTGATTGAATGTATATCTGGCCCCTACAAAGACTCGCGGTGTCGCACCGGTGTATCGAGCCAGCGCCGCTATCCTCCCCGACAAATCTGGTTCCAATTTCCCTTCCCGGGAGAGATGGAAGGCTTGGTGGACAATTGGCACGGGGATCGCTTCTACGTGTATGTTGTAGGGCGCCTCCGACCACTGCGCCACCCGCACCCACTAGGCCTTAGTATCCGCGTCTGTTCATCTTCATAATAAAACAATGTGCATGGATGATGGGAAACCTATCGGCTTGTGTTTAAATTTCATGTGTTCATGTATGTGTGCGAGTAATTAAGGATGGAATATTTTATGTAATAATTTGCTTGAATCTTTATTTACGTACGCTTTAAATCAATAGAAAATAGTTGCGCTCTTTATGAGCACTGAGACGCAAAATTTCTGTGGTTGCAGCTGTGTGGCTTTTATAGTTCGACAATTGGATCTTTATATATAAGCAATACCACAATGAGAAGGTGCAGGAATCGCAGCAATGATGATGCCATTCAACATGCGTAGTGTTCTTGTTCTCCCTACGCCAATCAAGCCTCCGATTCCTACGATGTCGCGAAATCAGTACCGCACTTTCCTGGGATCCATTCATTTCCCCTAATACAGAAAAGCCGACAGTTGTCTGTGGTGAAGAACTGGGAACTTCTTATCATGATAATCTGACGATTCCAGAGGTAATAGACTCGACTAACACTCAGCGGCATGAAGGAGATTAAATATTCTCTCTACTTAATCAACACGTAAATTCTAAAGATCTTCGTGGAATGTGGCTGTGAGCAGACGAATTGAATGCATGAATTGGTCAGATCCGCCCAATGTGTGATGTTGGATCATGTAAACAGACAACACAACAATAACAACGCAAAAAATCGAACAATGAGAAGTAGTAAAGATGCACAATGGTTATGTAGAAATTATTTAAGAAGCAATATTTCAAAAACCGACTATCTTTTAACCTCGATGGGACTGAAAAATATGTAGTCTTTCATCGATAAGTTAACACGAAGTTGATAAACAATTTCGTTCGGCTAACGCGTCGACGTCTTCGTCCTCCCGAGAGCATACGATCTAAGTCGCCAACGCACAGTTCGTACACTCGATGTGGTGCCTCTGTCGTTGGATCGAGTCGCATCTTCTTCAGTGGTGCACCGCTTGATGCTTGCCCTCTGAGGAGAACGAAGTCGCCGAGGAGTTAGCCAAATGAGATTGTTTATCAATCTCGTGTTCACTTTTCGATGAAAGAGTACATATCAGAAAGACAAGATGATGCAAAATGACGAGCATATATTGGTAAAACTGATTAGCTTTTTTGGCAATCATGAAAGTAATAGAATAGACGGGAAGAATGATTCGTGGGAAACGAATGATGTGAAATGTAGACAGCAACTTCTGCATAGCGTCTCGAGCTAAATGAAACTGTACACGGAATGATTTCCTCTGATGTACTGTTCTACAAATGAACGGGTCAGAACATAGAAAACATTGTAGACTGCTTTCCAAGAAGCTGTGAAAGCCCGTAAGTTGTCGGTTATCTACCAGTTGCATCATGTGTCATTTGGGCGCCCAAACTCTCTTCAATAGCAACGGTTCATGGCCATAAAAAGATCTCGTGCAAAGAATTTTTTTTCATAGATTAATAAGTGTAGGGAAAAGCTTTTCATGAGCTACTCCTGATATCGGATGTTCGTTTAACACTCAAATCACAGAAAACAAAAATTGCGGTAAAACGCCTCTGTAAACTCCAGAAGAAAAGTGAGACGACATCGTGTCACGCGGCACTGATTGTGATATAGAATGTCTCCTAAAAATTCAAATGAGGTAAGATGAACGTTAGAATAGAAGACAGCTTCGCTTCGTCGATGGCGTGACACTCCCAGAACCAGAATGCACCTTCAAATTCCTGAGATGCTTACGTCTGGTAGAGAAATTATACGAATGACTTAAATTCAGGGCTGAACAAATGTAAACAACCGTCTAATAGAGTTTGCAAGAACATTGGAAATGTAGTGCAAAATTTGAAAGGGAAACTTGCCTCCGAGAGCAGGTTTTCAATTTTACAGTTAAAGATAAAGGATAAAGAATAAGGCTCACGGCGACTATCAATATTTGAGGGATGCGCCATGCAGCCAATTTCATCAACCACCATTAGAGGTGATTGAATGCATATCTGGCCTATGGAATGGCGGTGGACTACCGAGGTATCGAGTTGCTGCTGCTATCCTCCAAGAAAGGTCGGGTAAAAATTAGCCAACCCCGGAGCGATGGGAAGCTCGGTGAGCTTGGAGAACTCGGTCTAACCTAGGTGCCTTGCACAGCACCTTTATCCACTGCGCTACACAACCGCTTTCAGTCACACGAAATGCACTGTAAACTCCACTGGTAGTTGAAGAAATTGTGGTGATGGATGATTTGCTGAAGAGTGCTTAAACCATTCGACAGTCACCAGGTGGACGGAGGACTTCGATATTTCCGTCCAAAATCCCAGCTAAGAGTAAGCACTTCCTCCGATCTTAACGTAAACTCCACCTCGATTAACTTTGTTTCGCTTTCTGCTCTAAACTAATGAATACCAGAACACTCTTCAGATGCGAACGTTTACACTTTTATAAGGTCATAGGACACATCAAATCTCATATGATCGTCGTACAAGAGACAATACGGCAGGAACACCGATGCAAGCAAACTATATAACGAGACCAGTGTGATCCGCGAAAGGAAAGTCCGCTTACGTAACGTCTATGGGTTACACATTCCCGTGTATCTCTTTTTAACTAAATTGTCACACGCGAGATGCTATCATGACGTTTGGCCATTCTTTGTCACTGATGTCGCTGCCAGTATAAAGCCAGTACCTCCCTAACCTGCGCAGGTGATGAGAGCGAACAAAGCACTTTTAAGATAAGCTTGACCAGGTAATACTGAACGGAAATTCTTCTATAAATTTGCTAATGGTGACTCAAATATCAGAAAAGGAAACAGCAACCAAAGCGATTAAAGGGTGGGAAAATTTGGAATACGACAGCGAAATGACACTGAAACCACCATGCAGAACTGCTTTCCACGGCACGCACCCACCATGGTAATTCAATTTTTCAAATGGATGAAAACCATTGCTGGACATGGGAGTGACTTTACGGTACAGCGCATGCGGTCGTCGACGATGTCCTAACTAAGAAAGGATGACAGCTACTTGACATATCCGTAGTCCCATCATTCTGTACTGGATCAGATTATTGCCCTTACCGTGTGAAAATTGGATTCAGCCGCAAGCTGGAAAAGATTTTTTGGTTATAGAGACCACCACATACGCATACCCTAGGGGTTCAATGAATGTGGAGAGCAACATGAAGGCAGAATTAGATAGAATAGGAAGAACAACATGGGTAGGATAGGGGCCCCACAAAGGCCCGAAAATCCGCGCCTACCTTTCGATACAACAGTTACCCAAGCGCGCCGTTGTGCAGAAAACAAGGACTGACCCTTCAACCACATCAAGAATTCTGCGTGCTATGCACACAGCGATTGAACGATATCTTCTCAAATTAGACTGACAATCAGAACGCATAGCCGCAACGTGCAGCTTAAAAAGGTAAAAGGATAAAGCTCTCGGCGTTGATCAATCCCTGAGGGATGCGCCGTGCATTTTACTTCATTAAGCATCGTTTAGAGGTAATTGAATGCAGATCTGGCATTTTCTATGATTCGCGGTGGCCCATCGATGTATGCAACCAGTGCTGCAATCTTCGCAGACAAGTTCGGCACCAATTTTCCGACCTCTGAGGATGGAAGGCTTGGTAAGCCATTGGCGTGCGGATCGACTCTACGTGTGTGTTGCAGGGCGCCTACGACCACTGTGCCATACGCTCCGTTATGTGCAGCTTCAGTAACTCAGATGTACCCCATCCTCGAGGTCCAGGAGAATGTACATCGATTGCGAAGCACAGATGGGCTTGTCATATAACAAGAAGAACAGATGCTGATGGACGAAAAAAAACTGCGGAATGGACTCCAAGAGGATGCAAGCGTCTCCATGGATGGCCACATGCACTCGAAGGTGAAAGCGACTAGTGAATCATAGGATGTGTTTCGAGGACGTCAACGAGTTCGAAGCAAATCACCGTCATGGACGAAGCGGCGATCACACAAGAAAGAAATGAAGGAAAAGGAACATGTGCAGCGGTCCTCAAAAATCGTGAACATCGAAAAACACTTCCGACCATTGCAATTATATACGATACATGCCGTGTTGAAAAAGGAGACATACTCAGAGATTACATAAACCGTCTTCGTCTAACAGAATCGTCTCCATCGAAAGGCACAAGAGATGTAGAGTAAACAAGCAAGCCGCTCGCTTCAAAGCATCCCTAAAATCCACCATGCTGCAATCGCTCTTGAAATAAGAATATCACCAAGGACTATGCTGTCTTTAGCAACACCCAGCTGATTTTAACGACTTTGATAAGACTTCGATTCTTAATGAAGTCGAATGCACGGCGCATCCCTCAAGGATTGATCAACGCCGAGGGCTTTATCCGTTTATACTTTATGGCCCATTGACAAAGATGAGTGAATCGGAAGATTTTCCACTCTTGCTAACAAAATTACTGCCGCGATGAGGTGACGATCCAAATTTTCTGGAGTATCTCGTGGAGTATTCGTTGATATCAATCTCCACCCAAGATTTGCTTCTGCACTGGACGAATTCTAGTCGTAAGGCAACAAAGCTTTCTGGCTCATGCACAGAGAACGGGCAAACACCTGAATGAACTCAGAAAATGCTGGTACTCTATCATTCAACGAGGACAGAAAACAGTCGACCCAAAAACTACATTTGACCTCACAATTAATTGAAAGGCGAAAAGAAGAGTCGAAGAAAGAAATAATGATGAATACACAACATGCTGAACGGATCACCTAAACATCTGCACGGAATCTAGGACACATGCATTTGTTTAGGTCCCAAGATCAAGAGCGAATGGCGACATACTATTTACCCAGTGGGTTGATTATCAACATCAGAAATTGTCTCGAATAGCTGAATGTTCTTACGAGCTGCCCATTTTTAGCTGATGCGACGTTGGTAAAGACATTGTTATCGTTGTTGTCTTTGTTCAATGGGTGACTTTTCGGCGACTTCTTCTTCCTCAGAGCCTTTCCGTTGGTCCATCCATGTGTCGTTCACGAGTGATGAGTAAGTTGAGTAGGACGAGTAGTAAGAACATCTCGCGTGATTATGCCGAGGTTTGTAGAAAGTCGGTCTTTTGAATCTTCAATAACGTTTATTCAACACATAGTAATAACAAAACACATTTCCCGTACTCTAACGAAAGTGAAAAAGTTGGAGCATATTGTGTGAGGCTTCAGATTAACATCGATTCCATGAGAGTAAGAAATAGGATGCGGAAATCAGTGAAAACCGTACGATCGCACTCCGTTTCAATGGGAATTACAGTGAGCACTTCGAATATACCAGATGTTTCATAAGCAGTAAACAGGAAGCCACCGAAACTTTGTAAGTGGGGCGGCATAAGGCAGAAGGAATTAGTGAATACGCTTCAGTACAAACGGAAAGAATTAGTGATTACGCTTCAGTACAGGCAGAAAGAATAAGTGATTACGCTTCAGTACAGGCAGAAAGAACTAGTGATTACGCTTCAGTACAAGCAGAAAGAATTAATAGTTACGTCTTACTACATTGACGAATAAATATAACAACATAGAATAATGGTAAAACGTAGGCATTCGCATTACATGTATACAATAACAAAAGGTAAGACGGGTAAAGGAATAAATACTTACTTCTCTTAGAAAGAAACAAGGCGATAGAGAACAGAATTTCACCTAAATTCTGAAATAGTCGGATTTGCCCAGAACGAAGATAGATGGTTCAATTGCGCTAAACGAGTCATCAGATCCGAATCCAGCGCTCCGTTTCTCATTCGAGCCAGCGATTCCTCGTTCGAGGCCGGAAGTGTCGTTGTAGTGCAGTGAGTCTGTTCAGCGGCCAACGGCGCTTCCGGCACCAAGTGCGGTGGTGAGCCCCTCGGTGATTTGTCCAGTTGCGAAGCTGCTGATGGCGTCGTGACAACGGCCGGCTTCACTGCCACTGGAGCCGGCAGGTCGCATTTCACTGGTGGAAACTACAACAACTCCCTTTTTGAAAGGATTCACTGAACAAATCGTGTCATTCGCGAACAATGGGATAGCTGTTTAATTTATTCAATCATTACAAATTCAAATGCACTGCAACGCCCACCATTTTCAATACCTAAGACGTTATCAATCTACCATCATAAACTTCACTGAGAAATGTCGCCAAAATCGTATTGTATTTACAAAACCAACGAGGCTTCAAGTATTGGGTTGCTTTATTTAAAATTTTTGTATCAACAGCATTTAACATAATACTACTACTTTCACTCAAAAACTGTTCAAGAAGGAAACTCTAGAAAACCAGACTACTTCGAAATTTACTGGCTCATAAAGGTCGAAACATTTGGCATCCCTTTAGCACTACGAAGTTTAAGCAGAACCCTACCCCTACCTTCAATTCGTGTAAATTTCACTTATGTTTTAATTATGTTCAAAACCGGAACCTACATTTTGCTCAGCATCGCCAACGATCGGTTTCGGCTCCATATTGGGAGCGGAATGTGCTTGAGGAGGTGAAGTGATCTGCTGAGTCAATGGAGCGACAAGACTATATGCTGGTTGTTGTAGGAGCAAACGCTGCTGCAACCCCATCATACCCTGGAAAAGTGGGAACCTCGCCACAAAGTGTGGAGCATCACCAGGTAGTCCAAAATTCGTCGAAATTCAAGCGAACCAACCAATATGTTAATCATAGACGGCTGAGGTCTTGGAATCCCGAGAGACGACATTCCAGAAGCCAGGTTAATGTTCTCTTTCTGCTGGTTCAACAGCGACGCCATAATCTGAATTGAATCGAGAGACCAGTAACTTTTTAATGACTCTCAGCATTTGCTTCAGAGATGTGATTTCACTGGCACACGATAAATCAAGCAATCAAAAAACCTGTTGATGTTGCAGAGCTATCGCCATATTCGCCATTTGATTTGTTTGTGATAGCGACATCTGCAAATATTTAACTTTAGCGACAAAACTAACGGTAAAAATAATAGAGTATAGTTTTTTACGCACTATGCCACGTGAGCCCCGCCCTAATTTACAACTGAAAAATCCGATGTCCTTTCTTTTGACAAGCACACGTGAGGATGTCACTATGTTATCTATTTATCCCCAAAAGATGATATTTCGGCGGATTTCGACTTCTGCATAGTCTACGAATATCAAATTAGTTCCAACCTAGTCAGCCAAAAACCTCTACAAGTTCAACATAAAAACAATGATACCTAGAACTCAGCCACGTTGGAAATAAAACAGGTTTTTGACACACTTGCCACGTTCTATGGTCTTCGTGTATACCACGAAGAGGCTAATGGTGCAGAGTTCACATTGACGGGCAATGTGCCTCTCACATTAAAATATCAGTTTAAAAT